TCTGACTTGAGCTTCTTTGAATAATTCTTATAAAAATTTCACCGACACGTTTTAACTTATCACTATGTCATGAATTCCAATACTGAATAGTGTAACAGAAGTCACGGTTACCATCTGATCGGGTTTTAATTAAAGCATATGAAGTTATTCAAACGATTTTGGGCCTGGGATCTTTGCTATTTTATCTGAAAACTGGAACAAGATTTTCTGAAAAATAAAAGAGTGCCTAATTTAAATACAAAATAGATTCACTCAAATCTTAAAAAGACATCAACGCCTTTGCCTGCAAAAATGTTTGCCCTAATATGTGATGCCGAAATCTCGAATTTTCAATTGCTTAGACTATTTATTGTTCTACAAACAGATAAAGCATTTGGTAGGTAAGGCTAGGTTATTATTCTTATTGATTATATTTTAATACTATCAGTACATCTTGAATAAGAACTGCATTAACTTTAAGTCCTATAAGATGATGAAGGACTGATAGTTGAGCTTATTAGGCTCCACCATGCTAATACATTTTACTTGGCCTTGCCTCCCAACAAAGTATTATCATTCAGGCAAATGTCTCATCGGTACTCCCAGAATGATCCGATTCCGGATCGTAAGTATCGTGATGACGTTACCACTCTAAATGTCCGGTGGGTCTCCGGGAAAATGTGGCATTCATAACGAGCGTGTTTTTAGCATTGTAATAGACAGAATAGTTTTCGAGTCCATCGGTATTTCTTGAATAAAAGCATAGATACACAAGGTCACTTAAAGTTTTATATGGATTAATAGTTGAGTTTACCCACTTTGAGAACGGTGGTAATTTCGACACGATACGCACGACTCGCTATTCAATCTTGCTGGGAGTGTTGATAACTTATTTCCGCAATCGAAACTGCAGTATAACCTGGATTGTATAGTCTTTTGAGAGGCAAGGTCCAGCGAGATTTCATTGCATCATGAGGCCTACTCTTCTCATCGTTGGAAAACTCAATTTTCTGTATTTTGCTTACTTTAAATGGTCTATAGTGACTACGTTTTTATTCAGTAAATTATGCGGCTGAATTGAGAACGTCTCGCCGGTTGGTGTATTTCTCTGTCTCATTATCCACGTATCTACAGGCTAGCTTCTATGCTACCTTCATTAAAACTACTAATTATTAAAGAAATTCAAATTATTGTACACTGTTCGTGCATGTGGTCACTTGGTTGATGTATTCTAGCCCTGACGTTGATTAATGCTAGATATTTAGAAACCTTGATTGGTTTCCAACAAGTCTTTTGCATTCCATTTGGAAAAGAAATTATTATTTTTTCGCTATTTGCTCCCATTTTTTCACAATGAATTAAAAGTAATCTCTATACCTGTTCGCTTTCATTCCTTCATCGCACTTACCCATGACTATACGAAACACTGCAGCCCTTGGCTTCAAAATCTGCACACCCTACTCGAGAATTACATTCTAAGCCCTCAGCTGCGGCCCATTTTACCGCTCATTTAGAACAACAACAGCATTTGCAAATGCAGCAGCAGACACCTGCTGCTGCTTTTCCTCTTCAGGTTCCGGCAGCACGAACCAGGCCTGTCTGGCCCCCACAAAACGTTCATGCTCATGAAGGTATCCAGGCACATCTGCATACCCCTGTCCAACACCATTTACAGAACACTCATAGGCCACATCAAAATCTAACTCGTCACCACCATTATCATCAGCAGAACCAGATGCGTTTGCAGCAAACTCTTCCTCCAGATCATTCACAGCAGGGAACTTCACAATATCGGCACCACTCCATAGCATCCAGTCTCCAAGGTGCAGGCTTAATGCACACGATGTCTGAGGTAGAGACCATGAATAGAATTTCTGTCGAATCTCAGCAAGATCCGTGGGCTATCTCTCCTGATCAAAAGGCTTTCTATCTATCCCAGTTCTTACGCCTTCAATCTGACCCTTCTGCCCGGCTCAGTGGCCAGCAGGCAAAGACTTTCTTTGAATTGTCTAAGTTGCCTGTGCATGAGCTATCGAAAATTTGGTAAGTTACGAATCATTTTTAGGTGATATTTCCATCTAAATCGATTTATTTCTTTTCCAACTATGATTTATTCTTTATACTGTTGTTTGGAAAGCGATAATTATTCATATGACTGGTTTTAAACTCCACTGGAACTTCCTGTTTTATCCTAACATGTGTTTTAAAATGCTAACCTATCTCTATAGAAGCATGAGTCATCTTAAGATGTAGGCCTTTCAACAGATATTCTCATCCAGTTTAGGCATCAAAATCCACTTTGGAAGAACGAACATTTCATGCGACATGGTTAAGTAAAATTCAATATCATTGTAAAGTTTTATACTCATTTCATTGTTGTAAATTCAGCCCATTACTACTTCATTTTGAGCAGCTTAGGTGGACTTGATATTTAAGATCTACTGATAATTTTTGAATTCCTTATTCTTAGATATGTATATTAATCTAAATTTTAATTTTGCAGCTCATAATTTTGCATCATAGCATAGGTTTTGGAAACAAAGAAAGCTCCTATCTACAAATTGACAATTTCTGAACTTGCCAAGAAGGGAGGCTCAGCTATTTGTGGTAAAATCTGTTCAAGAGGAATTAAAAATTTCTTTTTACCTTTTTATTTTACTGTTCCATGAATATCTAAAGAGCGTTCTGATCTATGCGGGAGTGTAATTTCGACCCCTCTTACTTTTGAAAGTACCCGACCACACTGCTCAAATACACTATTTGGGATAAATTGTACTGTGAAATTCAATGCGATTTTGTCTTTCCCCATTGTGCCAATCCACAAATGGTATGGCTTCGATTCTAAAATATCCTCATTAGTTATTTAAAGCTAGGAATGCTATTATTAACTTCATATTTATTAGTTGATTATGCTTTTAATTAAGTATCATATTGATAATTTTCTTAAACTTTCCCTGCTTCTAAATGATACTAACAGATAATCCTGGTATTATTTTATATTCAGGTCTTTAACAATGTTCTTTATTGGATATTCTTAGCATGTATGGCAATTACATAAAAACATATATGATT